GCTTGTGTGCACATAACTTTCATCAGGAATATGGATCAAGGAATGATTTATGCATATATTTTTTAGTTCTGATAGGGTTAGTAATTTTGTTCTCCTTTACCACAGTGATGGGTAAGAAGTTGTTCCAAAAAAGCATTGCCATAGCAGATGGAACACTGAGGGCATATTTTGGTTTTCTTTTTGTTGGCTGAAAGGACAAAGAATGATTTACTCTTCAAAATAGCCCCATCCCCCAGAATTACAATCACAGTCGCTTCTCTGCTGTGTTTACTGCTTCTCTAAAGTTCTGCTCTGATTGACGTTCTTTTTTCAAAAGCAGAAAATTTTTAAAACAAAATTTAAAAACATACATTTGATTGGGGAACCCATTTGATGGAGAAGCCCTAAAGATAATAAATAATCCTGTTGTCAAGTTTTGAAGAAAAAAATTTCAAGAACTGCAAACTATTTGCATTTGAATAAGTTGCAGTATTAATAGTCTACTGACACAGGGTTGGTAATGGTCTAGGTTAGTCACTTTTTCCCTCAGGTGAGGATCTATTTGAAGATGTTCAAACAGAAAAGTATTGTAACTGAAATTTCACAACTGGGATAGATCGAGAAACCCCTTTTAACCTTGACTTTGGAATTGCAAATGGAAGATAGGACTGTAAAATAGGTACAGTATAGAGTGGTACTTGTGGGAGGGGGGAGGGTGAATGAAGGAGATGAAGTGGGTGAATATGGTTGATGGGCTTCATATACATACGTGAAATAGGTGAAACCTCTTGCAGTTGCTGTAAGTGCAAAGGGGAGGGGGTTATGGGGCGGGGGAAGATTGTGGGGGTGATCTAACCAATGTACAGTGTAAGGCTACTGGAAACTGGCACAATGAATTCCACCCCCCCTGTAAAATGAATATATGCATTTAATAAAAATGAAAAATGTGTTATTTCAGAGATTAATTTGGTTTGAGTAAGTATGGGGAGAGTCAAAGTCTAGGGTAGCAGTGAAAATGGGAGGAAAGATGACAAGTTGAGAACTTCATGTGAGGGAAAAGAAGAGAAAATTTTACATCAGGATGAGTATAACATTTTCAGCTAAGAACGACTGAGACTATGACTCTGAAGAGCATTTGTTAATAATCCCACTTCTTAGATTTTTTTAAAATTGTGCAAATGCTAAAACAGCAGTCTAGGCAAGAAACACAATCAAATTTAAAGACAAACAGATAGATAACCATCAAATAAGTGCATCCCATCAACAAAAGAGCAGAAGGTCACTAAGAGCCTGAGGGAGATTGCCTTTTCTAGCCAGAGTCCTTTGTGAAGAGGGGTCAAACAGGAGCAGAAAAGAATTGCTGTGTGGTAAATTTGGAGCTATGAGGCTAAGACCAGATGAGTGGAATGGAGAGCATGAAGTTGATGTTCTATTCACATTCCCTAGAGCCAATTGCATTGCAAAGTTTAAGAGCTGGTACAAGAAAACTACATATCTAATATACAAGCTGGATAGGGCTAGTTCACTAAGGCCAGGCAACCATCATTAAGTGAACCACAAAGTTGCATGTAAGCAGAGACTATGTCCAGCAGCACAGAGACTTGAGGGAAAGGTTTCTTTTAGTTTCTAGAGTTAAAATATTCCAGAAGCAGTTGACCATTTACTGGTATATCATTTTCTGCTTTTGTTGAGTTAAAGAAGGGTTAGCCTGCCATTTCTAGAAGCACCGAAAAGTCATTTGTGATGACTTATCCAGAGTCCCCTGGTCATTTTAATGCCTCTTACCCATCTTGTCTTCATGTCTGTTGACAAAGGTACTAATTTGTGAAAAAGTTTTCACTGATTCACACTGAAATGAGATGAAAAAAGAAAAAAAAAAAACCAAAATGAAAAGGAGGAGAATTTTTCCATAAAGCATTACACCTCAAAGCATGGCTCCTTAGTATGTTAAGTACTTTGAACTGGAAAAGTCTCAGAAGCAAGTTCTCTCAGACCTCTTCCCACCTTCTTTTCTTTTTCCTCCATTTCTCTCCACAAAAAGGTCAAATAAGCTTGAATTCCTCTTCCCCAAGCAAGGTTCTAGAAAACAGAGCTCCTTTCCTCCTAAAACCAAGAGCAGTCACTCTGGCCTCCTTCCTCTGAAAGTAGGAGACCCTCTTTCCACAAGAGTCCAACCTTACATGCAGGGGGAGCCGAAGCAGTGGTGCTGCATAGTGAGGGAAAGAAGAATCTAAACAAACAGATGGCATTTTGTAATCTAAAAACTCTGTTGGTCCCTGATTTTTTTTTCCTTGTTTATAAAATGAGTAGGTGGAGAACCACTTCCTACTGGCCTGTCGTCACTCCATCCTTGGGCTCCTTCAGTGCTGCCATCACATTACCTTAAAAACCTTCAGTAGCATAATGAATCTGCTTATGGCCTCCCTCCCCCAATTCCACAACAAGGACCCTCTGCCTCCTCCAGACCTGCTACTCATTAAGATGCCAGCTTATCCCTATGTCATTCTAAGTACACTCTTTCCAAAGGTTACTTGTATTTTTATTTCCCAAAGAAGCAAAGGCTAATAGGTTAGGTCTGAATGCTCAGCATCCTGGGCTCTGTCTCCCTCTGCTCAGCATCCTATGATTCAAAATGCCTGCCCAGCAAGAAATGGAGCATATGGTAAGCCAATGAAAGCACCAAGTCAAAGGTTGGTGAAATGCTTTCTACAGGAGAGAGGTGATGTTTCTACTTGAGATTGAATAGGGTTAGAAAATATAAACCAGTGAGAAGGCAGGTCAGTGGCAGCAGCAAGAATGAATCAGCAAGCTGCTGGCAGGTAGTATCATATATATAAAACAGTGCTCTCAACTTTAGATCAGGCACTGTGATTTACAGAAAGGCTAATGGGCCTGGGGTCAGGTGCACAGCAGTTCCAGTGACAGTACAGTCATGAGATAGTGACCACACCATTTTTTCCATCTGTAAAATGGGGGGGGCAAGGGGTACAATGCAATAAAGAACAATCTTATATATAGGAGCATTCCAAGGGATTTTTTTTTTTTTTTTTTGGATACTGGGGGTGGAACCCAGGGCCTTGCATGTGCTAGGCAAACACTCTTCCAGTACCACCGAGTTTCCTCCACAGCCCTGGTTTTTCAAGACAGAGTGTCTTGGTACGTAGCTCAGTCTAGCTTCAAACTTGCCATTCTCCTGCCTTTGCCCCACCCCCATGTTCTGGGGTGATTACAGGTATGTACCACTATGCTCAGCAAGGATGTTAATGTTTTTAAAAACCAAGTAACACTCTTCACATTATAGTATGAGAAGCATAGCATGATGCAAGAATTATACCAAACTTAAGGTTTTCTCAGTAATTCTGTAACTCTGCCTTAGGCCTGTGTTTCTTTAAGAGCAATAATTTCTGCAAAAAAGCACTGACAACTGTAAACCATGTTGGATTTCTTCCACTTATGCCTTAGTCTGCTCGGGGCATGGGGAGGGAAGGATGTCAGCTTTGTTCTTCAGCTCTGCCTTTTATGAGTAGAGACAATGACTACACTAATGGTGCATTTGCTTTCTCTGTTGCTCCATTTCGGGCTCCTCCCTCTTCAGTGCCCATTCCCGCCACCGCTGTCAGACCACAGCAGTCAAACCCAGGATTTCACTGATACCGTCTCCTGTAGATTAATGGGTCACCCCAGCACCGGGCTGAACAGACCTCCTTCTCTCACCCTCCTCCTTTCTTCCTTCCTCTCTCGACTGTGACATTGCTGTTGTTGAGTCCTCTAATTACTAACTACATATTTCAAAATAGATTTTTATACTCTAAAATCCTACTATCCTTTTATGCCAAATATCATTTAAGTACTTATTTTTCCTACTCTTCTGCCACTATCCACTAGTTCTGCTTCTAGGCTTTTTAAAAGTAGGACATGGTTCAAATCTCCATTTTACGTAGAACCTTTTACTAATGAAACTGCTTTAGTATCAGTCTGAAATGCAACCTTAAGTATGTTGTTGTCTCAAGGAAATGTAGGATTTTCATTGAGAATTTTGTGTTCTTTTTAATTCACATGACATGATCATTTTTGAAATTTTCTCTGGTGCTACCACAAATAGAAAAATCACAAAAATTCAATTCTCTAGCCAAATGTTTTATCTGTAGTGTGTTTTGTATTTTAAAATATATTAACATTTAAATGATAAGTTTCACACAGTTATATACTAAAATAAGACTATAATGAAATATCAAATAATCATTAAATATCAGGAAATACTGCATTCCAATTCAGTAAACATAATAAATCATTTGAGATACCACTCATTATTGAAATATCTGTATAAACAAAATAGTTTATCACTACCACCATATAAGTCCCAGTTTCCCATTATAAAACATGTCAATCATTGAAACGTTAGAAGGTCTTAGGACTGAGGTATAACTCAGTGATACAGCACTTGCCTAGCACGTATAAGGCCTGGGTTCAATCCCCAGCACTGCCCCCAAAAAAAGAAAAACAAAGTCTTTATTAGGCTTTTCTTAATTTGTTGAAGATGTCTCAAGATACTAAAATATTTATATATGCAAATATATGTATGTATATGCTGTTTGAAAAAGTGACATGCATATTGTACTATCATAGAGAGCATAAGTTGATAAAACTTTAAAAACTGATTAACAGTGAATTAAACCTACTTTGTGGAAAATATGGAATAATAGTAGGGAATTTAATATCAGCGAACATGTTCCTTTTGAAACAGCAAATTAGATGTGCTGGAGGATTTTGGTCACACTTCAAAGAATAATATGCTGAGTGGTGAGCTACTGTTTACTCTTGCTCTCACCAGTGAGGTTTTCTATGTTAAACAGGCTTTTGATTACTTCAAAGCATGTTTGAAGTCCTTACTCCACGTAGCTCATGCACAAAGACAAAAATATTCCTCCAGATTTGTGCAGCTAATACTACCATACCTTGTATTTATAAGTGAGAGCCTGCAACTCACTGCTTAACACCCCATCAATGCCTTTTTTATGTAGCTACGACAGTGAAGGCCGTCTGACAAATGTCACATTTCCAACTGGAGTGGTCACAAACCTTCATGGGGACATGGACAAGGCTATCACAGTGGACATTGAATCATCCAGCCGAGAAGAAGATGTCAGCATCACTTCAAATCTGTCTTCAATCGATTCTTTCTATACCATGGTTCAAGGTACAATCATAATTTTAAGTTGATGATTTTAAATATCACTAAGTACCCAAATATAAAGTGGCAGCCCTCATTTTCTAAGATGAACCAGAAAAGGGAAGGTGAAAATATAAACCTCTGGAGACACTGATGGAATAACTAAATACCTACATGTAATATTTACTGTGGTTATATGTCCATATTAAACTGTACTGTGTCCATAGTATGCAAAATGTTAACCCCTAAATAACGTCTTTTTTTATTCCTACTAAAAAAAAAAAAAAACACTTAATTCCAACTCTTTCCAAGTGTCTTTAAACCATTTTTGGTTCATCAAACACAGTTTTCCAGAGCATGTCCTTGTGTCTGTCATCTCAGTTAAGTGGTTTGAGGCACAATGTTTTATGAATCCATTATGATGTGGTATTTGAATCCACATATGACAAAAATTTTATCCTAAATCACAAGTACCCATTCACATAATATCCAGGCTTCCCATTTTTCCACCCAGTCTCCAAGCATATTCACTATATCCCTGTGATGAAACCTGCCATAGTCCTTCTAAAACTAATCTTGGGAAAAGACTATGGACAGAGGCATTGGCAATTGTGAGGTCACAACTCAGAATAATTACTAAATCTACATTAGACGTCTTGGACTCTGGTTTTTTTTGTTTGTTTGTTTTTTTGGGTTTTTTTGTTGTTGTTTTTTACCTTTTCCATCAGGTAATTTCTATAATCATCTGAAAAGTGGTCTTTCTTGAATTCGTTTCTTTCCCCAAGATGGGTTTGACAATAGATAAAGGGATAGGTGTGGGGAGGGGACCCTTGTAAGACCGTGGAGGTGAACCCTCAGCCTCCTAAAAGACCAGATGCTCTGCTCTTCTTGAACTACTTCACATCCATGGAGACTGAGCTCTAAAGTTTGCCTTTAATATTCAGCCGAACCTGTGACAGCATGAAATGCCAGAAATCAAAGTTGCTTTGTTATTCTCTAAAAGGACCCAATTCAGTACTCATTATATCTTTTATAAATGTGATTCAAAGTTTTAGAAATTCATATCACTGCTAAATACACAAGCAGCCAAGTGTTTAATCCATGTTAAAGGTTCATATTTTCTGCTTTTCATTTTTCAGATCAGTTAAGAAACAGCTACCAGATTGGCTATGATGGCTCCCTTAGAATTATCTATGCCAGTGGTCTGGATTCACACTACCAGACAGAGCCCCACGTTCTGGCTGGCACCGCAAATCCCACAGTGGCCAAAAGAAACATGACTCTTCCTGGTGAGAATGGTCAGAATTTGGTGGAATGGAGATTCCGAAAAGAACAAGCCCAAGGGAAAGTCAACGTCTTTGGTCGAAAGCTTAGGGTAGGTAATCACTGGAGAGTAAGGAGGCTGCCCACTCGTCTGTGTTGTGTAGAGGACCTACATGTGAGAGCAGGACTCATCTCCTGTCTCCCCTCTTCTGACTATACTGAAGTGGAATGCAAAGACTCAAGACGAGGAGTGGCATGCTATCTTAGAGCATAAGTTATATCAGTCATCAAGCCATTAAGACTGCTCACAGTAAAAGCAGTGATTAAAACATTTAAATGATTAAAAATGTAGTCTTCCCTGGGAAATTTGGAAATGGCGTGTAGCACAATCCCAAATGCACAATCCCTGGATGTCAACTGGCTCTTGTTTTAGTAATGTTATCTTAATAATCTTAGGCTCTTTCTTCACCTGCTCCATCATGAGCAGTGACTTCTTAATGTGCAGATGGGATTTTAAATACCGGTTTAAATATTGAAAGTTTTCCCAGTCATACACGTATATTGAAAGGGACAGGATGGACATTGAAAGGTGAGTTCTTTCTTAGCATTCTCATTATGCTAAGCTACAATTTGGACACATAGTAAAACTACCAACCTGTTACTTCTTCACTATTGATAAAAAACCCTAACTTATTACTTTTTATGAAAAATGTGATATAGCTTATTATGCCAGTGTAATTGAGCTTTGCAAAATATTCTCCGCATTTACCTGTTAGGTGCTTTTTTTTTTTTTAATCACTCTTACATGTCCCAAGTATATCTAGAAGGCAAGCTGTGATTTATGGTAGCTATTTGGTGAAAACAACATTGGTTAAATGTGAAACATAGGTTGCAAGAAATCACCTTCAGCCACAATAAACTGAGCCTAATTCATTCTTTGTATTTGCAAATTTGTTTATCAGATAAATGTACATAATTCTTCCTAACATTCCTTCCCTTACCGTTAAAAAAAATTAGGTAAAATCAAGGAGCAAGAACAAAACATAGCACTTACCATTAACACCTTGTTTTTCCTGTACCAAAAATGGCTAAATTATTATCCTAATGGGCCAGCCTTATTTACCTTGGCAGTCCTTCAGGGTAAGAAACAGCAAGTAAATATTGCTTCTGGCTGTTTCCAAGAAATAGAAATGAAGTGAAAAAGAACCAATGGATAAAACACAGAAACTATATCCAACTTACAAGTTCTGTTCTGATTCCATTTACAACACAGGTATTTGGGACTCCTGATTTATGGTCTCTGGACCCAGCACTGTTTGTTCCACCTCACCCTGATCCAGGTGTCTTGAGATGCCCTGAGTCCAGTCCTTCCCCAATCATTCTGGCATGCTGGAGGGAGGTGGATCAGTGAGGAGACTGAGAGGGAAGCACAATAAATGCTAAAAGGGAAAAGAAGATTAGGTAGAAGGTAAAATAATGAGCAGGAAAACAAGCGCCACACTTTTTCTGATCACTTTAATAAGGTGATGGTCCTGCTGCTGCCACTTACTTCTTCCCAAGCCCCTGCTTCCTTGGTCATTATAAACTGAATGCCAGTTCACAGGCTTTGTCTTACTCAACTGTCCCCAAGCAGGGATAATGTACACACATATACATGCATATAACGTGCGCGTGTCACACCCATCCTGAGACACAGGCCCTCATCAAAAGATACAAAGACAGTGCTCAAATTTGTGCTGTCCTCTCCATGCACACCAAAGACAACACCAAGTTAGCTAGGATTCCAAAAATATAGGTTTTAGATCAGGCTCCCCTTTTACTAATAGTAAAAATAATAGACATGACAATTGTTTCTGAGTCTTATTTTCCTTATTCATAAAATTATAGTATTAGGTGGATTATAAATTATCTAGATAATTTATAATTATAATCAAGATGCAATAATTTAACATTATGATCAAGATACAATAACTATATTACAAATAAATAAAATTTTCCTTATACTGCCCCCTTTTCATACAATCATTACTAGAATCAAATGAAACCATGTGAAAGAACTTTGAAAAAAAAGGCATGGTTATATATTCTTTAGCCCTAACCTAGAGACTCTCAACCCATATGCAAACATTGGCTGTTTATACCCACACAGCAGATGGCTAGGAAGGTGCTATTCAGCTTGCAGGAAAAGAAAAGGTCAGTGAAGAGATGGAAATACTTTGAACACAAGCTGACCACATGACATACTGCCTGTTGATGCTGAGACAAGTTATATCTCAGTGTATTTTTCTTTTTCCCCCTTTGTAGCATACAAGAAATTTTGGAAAATACAGGAAAAGAGAGAAAACCCAGACTGAGGTCCCTGGTTCTCCACCTGATTCTAAATGGAGACACTACCTCTCTGAAGGGAGAAAGGGACAAGTGCACACAGGCATGGGTATTAATGTCTTTGTGAACAGCAGAACCACAATGCCTCAGTAAGACATTTCAGAAACTATACTATTTACAATAGCCTGTTCAATCACACTGAAAGACGATTTCCAGCTGATATGTTTGATTGCTGTCACAGAGACAATGCCAAGATCACAAGGGAGGGTTTCTGACTTTCAAGATAAGATTGGATGTGCCAGCTCTTGACTGCTAATTTCATTTCTCTATGGATTTTAAGAGAGAAATTCTAGGGAGAAAATAATATTGTGAAAGGCTGGTTTGAGGACTGAACCTGGAGGCTGCCAAAATAGGGAAGAAAAAGAGAGGGCAGGAAGACCTGTGGCCACACATGACCTGAATCTATCCAAAGAGTCATTTGCATTCCACCCCTTCCTGAGATGAACTTGTCTCCTCTTTTACCTCTCCTTATTTCTTAGCAAAAAGTTCTTTTCATTTTCTAGTTTTTGACCTAAATTTAGCTATGTGCCTGACACTTGGTGGATACTCAAATATTTATTCAGTGAATGAAAGAATGAGGCAAGCAGCCTTACAATATGGATTATCTTTTTTTCATTGCATTTAGAGATTCCCAAAAGAAGAACTACATGACTATCACAGCCTTGGAGATGTTTTTCTGCTTGGACAAACCTAACACTAGACTTAATGATAGATAGACACACACATACATACATACATACATACATATATAGATACACACAGATATAGATACATTGATGATAGGTAGCTAAATTGCTCAAAAATATATGTGTCTCTGTGTGTGTGTATACATGTATATATATGTAGATTCAACTAAAAAGTTTAAAAAGGCATGATGTAGAAAATGAAAAATTACATTAAAAACTAACATGGAAAACATTTTCTATTAGAGAAAAGACAGTAAACACAATAGAAAATAACATGAAATCTTGAAACAGATGCCGGAAAGCATCACAGAATAAGGATTATTCTACAGCTTGCTTGTTAACTAAAATTTTTTTTTAAATCATACAGCTGCTTGTCTTTGTATGGTTGGTAAATATTCCTAATTTTATTAGTGCTACACTTTAGAAATGGCCATCAATCAATTAGAAAAAACTGTTATGGCATTCCAATAGTAAAATTGACCTCCTAAGCCTGAACAGAATTCAGATGCTTCAAGGAAAAATTCTAGTGAATCATTTTTAAATGAAATTCTCAAAATTTGAAAGCCAAAGTATATTTGAAGGCATACATAAGTTTGCTAGCATATTTAAATCTTACTCTGCCCGTCACATTTGTGTGATATTTCAACTGAGTAGCCCGGCCTGGAGTGGGATCACACTTGCAGTCAGCACTTGTGACAGTGCAAAGATACGGAACAATCTGGATCAAGTTGAAACTCCAACAGGGACACAAGGGAGGCTTATTGTTGTTACCAAGTGTGCTGGGGAAGCAGCCAGCCTTCCTCACTCCCCTCCATAACATTTCAAGTGTATATAATCCAATTGTACTGGCACCTCTGTTAGAGCAAATTGTTTAAGGTCATTATAACTTCAGTTTTCAAGCACTCCAAAAGGAAAATTATAACTGTTCCTCTCTTGATATGAAAGGAAAATTATGATTAATTACAATCATGCTGGATATGATCTTTGAAAATGGAGATATTCCATGCTAATGTAAGAGAAAGTATATCATAGAGGAATTTACGGTGAACTCTTATCCATACACAGGATTTGGATTCATTTTTCGATGGCTGGAAGTACAGTAATGGTCTGATAAAAGATTTCTCTGTTTCTTTTTTCAGTCCTGGGGCTTGAACGCAGAGCCTCACACTTGCTAGGCTAGTATCTACATTTCAGTCCCCAGTCCTTTTGCTTTTTTAGTGTGTTTTGAGATTGGGTGTCGCATTTTTGGCTGGGCTGGCCTTGCACCATGATCCTCCTATCTTCACCTCCCAAGTGGCTAAAAGCCTCACTGGAGCATGGAATAATGCTAGTGCTTTATGAATGTAAAACAGTAAGAGAAAAAAAGATTGAAAAGTTACCATGATTTCTAAAGGTTTCATAAGGCAGGACTGTGTCCTAGAATAGACATGTACCTTAGCAGTTACACTTTGTTTATAATACTCAAAGAAGAAAGCCTGGGCATGTTTGAGAGTGTTTAAAAAAAAAACAGATCTCTTAGTATCGTTTGAAATTTTACATATTGAATAATAGCAGTCAGTTTCTGGAAACAGTAAGAATGTTTAAAACCTTCCTGAGCATAGTGATGCATGCCTGTAGTTCCATTTATGCAGGAGGCTATGAGTCACTTGAACCTAGATCAGCCTGCAAAACATAGTGAGACTCTGTGCAAAACAACAACAAAACACACACACATGCACACACACACACACACACACACACACACACAAGGAACCTTGGCTTGTTTTGGAAATGGGGGGGGAAAAATTCCCAGCACAAACTCATTACTTCAGTTTGAGGGATAAGAAAGGCATTGCATACAGTATTTGGATAAAAAGAAAAATCAAAACACCATTCCCCATTTGGTCTCTTAATGTTTCCAAATGCTTCCATATGGTGACATACTTGGTATAGAGACTCACACAATGGCAAAAGTGATGATATGTTTGGTTTTCATCTGGAGGAACTGGTGTCATGTTGCCATACTAACAAACCAAAGAAGCAAATCAGATATTGGTAGCCGGACATAGATGTGAAAAGATGGGATTCAAGACCTGTCTTTTCTCCCTTCTCCCTACAGCAACAAATCACACCAGATCTACAGTCCACATTTCTTAAATTCTAACCAGAGGAAATACGGCAGAGATAAATGCGGGCTAAGGGAAGCAGTAAAAAACTGAAATACAAACTAAAGTTGAGTGCAAAGTAAAATACAAACAGATGGGGCAAAACTGGAGGCAGTATTGTCAATGGAAACTACACGGTCTCTTTCATGGTCATTTGTGGCCTAAAGGAAGGAAGGAAGGAAGGAAGAGGGCAAACCTGAACATTTGTTGATGGGGTGGGGGTTCTTCAAAAACAGTCTGGGAAACCCAAGAGCCCTCATGGAACCATTTAAATTGTGCAAAGCCTTGTCTTAAGGAATCGAAAAACTAGGGCAAATACAGGCTAGAACACTTGACTCTACCAGTTATCAAATTAATTTGATATTGAAGCCTTCTACAGACTTTTTTAAAGCCTTCCACACACTTCAAAAAAATTGTAACATTAGCTAATATCTTCTTTCCAAAGTACACAAGGCATTCTGCAAACTGAAACTCATAAAGTTTCACAAAATTCACACAAGTCAACTAATATGCACAATTCTGCATGGAAAAATGGAAGTGCAGAAAGCCTCCAGCTGGCTGATCAGAAACCACTAAAAATCACTGAGAGAGCCTAAGGAATCTAGCCTACCTCTTCATTCATAGATGAACAAAACAGATACAGAGGGGTTAAAAAGCCCAAAGGCAGGCTGCTTCTAGATACCCTCAGGTTTGAAGATCAAGCTTTTTGACTCCTGGGCTCCTTCCCCAAAGGCGTGTGGGTGCACACACACACACACACACACATATACATGATACATGCTGATTTCAGCTATGATGTATTGTTATGGGATTGTTTTTCCCCCACATCAGCTAGATATGAAAAAATAGAACTGAAAAATTAAGATCTAATTTCTATCCAGGGCTCTACCCGGTCTCATTTCTTGTAAATCATCTCTTTGAAAGCTTCCCCCTCCAGCATTTCTTTTAAGCTTAACATTGTTCCTTTCCATTGATTTCACAATGCTCCCCTTGAACAGCGAATTTGGAAAGTTTAAGCTTGAGTATTTTTGCATGGGACATGTTTAATGTCAACTATAGAATACAAACATTAGTTTTATTCACAGGTTTTACACAAATATACCCATATATATTTACATACACAGAGTGGACAGTGTGTGTTAGTTTGTTTTCTGTTGCTGTAACATAATATCAGAGACTGGGTAATTTATAAAGGAAAGGAGTTTATTGGCTCGTTATTTTAGGTCTAAGGATATGAAGCAAACATCTGCTCAGCTTCTGGTGAGAGCTTCATGGTAGAAAGTAGAAGGGCAAATGGGCACTTTTGGAAGGGGACAAATGAGTTAAAATTTCTTGTAACAACCCACTCTTGACAAAACTAATCCATTCACATGAAAACTAATTCAGTCTCTTTCCCCATCTCCCAATTCTACCACATTTGACAACCAAATTTCAACCCGAGTTTGGCAGGAATAAACTGTATCCAAACCATAGCATGTATATATAAAACTGATCAGCTGGTGCGGTCAGCTTCAAAGGTTCTGGTAGGATATTGTTATGTACAATTAATACTTTCCATTTAATTTTTTAACAGTACAGAGAGTTAATGAGCATTTTAGTGTGTATAAGCCACCGTCCCCACAAAAGTGCTGTAGAAGACCAACAAATAAACAGGCCATGGTCTCTGCCCTCAGGGCTCACAGTCTGCAAACACTGGAAAGTGTATGTAAAGTAGAAATTAATCAAGGCCACATGTCCACTGCAGTAAGGAAGGCTGGTGTGAGCCTTGGATCACAGACAATAACAGCCAGATTTACCAAAGACCAGCACATGGCACACAGACCCTGTCATAACAACACGATGCTAGATTTATAAATTAAGTGTGATACTCAGACCAGGGATATGTGGTAGTAAAGAATTCTGTAGTCCATGCCACTTACCCAGATGTCATCAAAAGAAAAAGCATTCTAAAAAATTGTGACTTTTCAGCACTGGGCCAAAAGCAATGATCATGTTTGTAACCTCCTGCTATTTAAACTCATTAATAATTTACAGTAATGTGGGTTCCAACTTCTACTTAACTGCTCTTCAAAGGGTTGGAGTCACATTTACCACTGTGTTCTTTTTAATATAGCCATGATTAATTTACTAAGCAATTATTTTCAAATGTCTTTGCGGGGGGAGCTTTAAGTAATTTACATAGGGTGTCACGTTTATCACCTTCAGATCTTCTGAAAAAAATCTTTAAAGCAAATACATTTTGGCATTTTTCTCATCAGTTGCTTTAGTTTACAAAATTTAATTGAAAAGATTTTGAACAAATGCCAGGCTGTCTTTCTGCTTAATAAAATCTTTTAAAAGAGCAGTTAATCTATAGCCTTGCACTTGTACCCAAGAAGTTGCTAGATTAATTTACTGACAAAGAGAATCAATCATCATAAACGGAATTTAAACAATACTAGGGACTCTGAAGAGTAATACGTGACTTGTACTGCAATAATACGATTTATTCTATCATCTTGTCTTTGTGGTAACAGGTTAATGGCAGAAACCTACTTTCAGTTGACTTTGATCGGACATCAAAGACAGAGAAAATCTATGATGACCACCGTAAATTTCTACTAAGGATCGCCTATGACACATCAGGGCACCCAACTCTATGGCTGCCAAGCAGCAAGCTGATGGCGGTCAATGTCACCTATTCATCCACAGGTCAAATTGCCAGCATCCAGAGAGGAACTACTAGTGAAAAAGTAGATTACGATGGACAGGGAAGGATTGTGTCTCGAGTCTTTGCTGATGGCAAAACATGGAGTTACACATATTTAGAAAAGGTATGCTTGCACACTCATGTTAAAAATGGGGAAGGGATGATTAGCATTTTGTAGCAATTGCCCAGAGCACTACAAGGAAGAAAACAGCAGCACATGACTGACTTCCATTTATTATTCTGAGTATCAATGTGACAGTCACATTGACACTGCAGTGATGAATTTCTGCATTAGCAAAGTACTTTTGCCTTAGTTAAGTTCCACTATCTGAGACCCTTTGAGGTGATTTATGTTGTAAACAAACAAGCACTGACACTATCCACATGCCAAGCTTATACACTGACAACATTCACAAATTAGACCTTGAGCTTGTAAGTCATTTGTAAATCATTTTTGTGCTGGCTCTTTCATTTAAGAAAGAGCCTTACATTAGTATAGTTAAAGCTGTCGGTTTTACGTTGTTCCTGGCAGAGCATCAATATAACCATAAAAAGCACATAGGCTATTTTCTTAGAAAGACACATTTTCAGATATTTTGTGGCATCTCTCCTTTTTTTCCACATATAATAGATCAACATCATAATTTGCTCTTTTTTCCATTCCTAAGAACTGTGCACAATACCAGAAATGGAGACTTAAAGAGTTATGCCTGTGCAAAGTGCCAAGCTATATGATGTGCCGCTTGGGGTTTTGATTAGGGTCAAGAGGAGCGGAAGACAAAGAAATGGAACTATCTCCCTGTTAAAAGAAAGAAAAAAAAATATATATATATATGTATATATTCCACCAAAGAGCATATGCATGGGATGTTTTCTTTGCCATTGAGACAAACATTAGCAATAGAAAGTGATTCCATTTTGAATTTTTGTAAATCTCAAAGCACTCTGTTACCAGTTACACAGAAGCCTAAGTTATAAACTCAACTCTTAATAGTTACTTCCTCTACCCTTACAGAACCTTCTGTCATCCAAAAAAATCACACACATGCACATCATTGCTGTGCTTACCTCAACAATCTCGTTCCTCACCAGAGGTGCTCTGTAGAACTCAGTCTAAACCTAATCCCTACATGTGAGCCATCCCATGTAGTTTCAAGCAGTCTGTACACAGACTACTCGTCCAGATTCAGAGCTCAGTGTAGGATGCCACCAGTCTTAAGGCACACTCACCTCTCAGAAACCCACCTGTCCCCTTCCTTAGAAAAGACTTACCCTAGAGACCACGGGTACGCTTAGTAGACGACAAGCTCCGCCATACTACTCATCACACTCTACAGTTAGTCCCTCAACTCGTTGTCTGTTGAGCAACCACAAAGCAAGCGCCCCCATACATACCTGTCTGGGAACAAATCCTGACACCTGGCAGATATTTCACCCTTCAACCCAACCAGCCCCAAGGCTACTTCTCTAAGTGGACAAGGAATAGACTGGAAAAGTTTTCCAAATTCAAACTAAGTACATTACAGGGAACAGTAATAGAAATGTTAGTACCCAGACCCAAAAAATTGATTGTAGTTTTTATAATGTGGCTGAAAAAAATGTTTAATGAAATTCAAGGAGTAATATTAGACCCACTGTCACAAAAACGACAAAGGCAGGAATCAAGATTTATGTTTGTACATCTATGAAGATCAGAAAAACCAATGAAACTTTTCTCAGTGTCTTCCCAAATTCCCAAAATCCACCCAAACTATTTCATTTTCTTTCTAGGATATATACACTAAGTGAAAACTTCTCTCCTTGCAGAACCAATAATGTATTACTATCATTAAATATGATGTTAAATGACTATAAAACCAAGTACTAATTCCTGTGAAGTGCAGTAGTCCAAGCCTTTCTTGGAAGAAACAGTTGGAAACTGTTAGGAACAACTCAGAACATTTACCACACACCTGTGTGGTAGTCAACTTCCTGTCACTGTAATGACATATCTGAGCTAATCAACTTAAAAGAAGGAAAGATTTGTTTCAGCTTACACTTTCAGAGGTTTTAGTCCGTGGTCACTTGACTCCACTGTTTTGGGGCCTGTGGCAAGACAAAGGCATTGTGACAGAGTACCTGGTAGAGCAAAGCTGCTCACCTCATGGTGGCCAAGAAACAAAGAGCGCGCGAGGAAGGGCCTGGGTTCCAATGTCCCTTCAAGGGCATGCTCCCAGTGACCTAACTTACTTCCATGAGCCTTCACCATTTAAAGGTTTCACTACGTGCTGAAAGTGCCACAGACCAAACCATCAATATATGGCCTTTGCGGGCCATTTCAGCTGCAATTCATAACAACCCACATATTAAAAACTGCCCCTAGGTGTGGCCCCAGAGGTGATTCTTTGGAGACATAAGTCATGAAAACCATTTTTTAAGGTAGTAGAAGATGAAAAGAACAAATTTTGGACAAGGGATTACATTTCTATGTCAGAAGCAAAGAAATAAGTCCTGGGGGGCTCCCACTAGCCCTCCTCCCTGCTCTGCCATCATCTCATTAAGTCTAATAGGATAGAGGAAGCTTTGGCAGAGGAAGAACTACCCAAGCCCTGAATTACAGTTGGGCCTCATTTAACAGCTTCAGGGCTCACCTGCTCTCCTGCTGGCTCAATAAATTAATGCTATATGTCTTTCTTCTATCACCTATAAAATAGGCAGAGCTTATTTTTATTTGTAATTTAACACAAAAGCATATGTAGTCCAGAAACTATTATGATTATACTCGAAGTCCAAATAGGATTTGGCACCCACCAAAGGAAATATCAAAATGTAGATTTATTTTCTGTACAGAAGTCTATAGAATTTGCAAAAAAATAAATAATCTAAATAACAGTATCTAAATAAAAATGTAAATAATATCTAAAAATAATGTTTAAATCTGTAGTTCTATTAAGGGCATTTACAGCTCTCATTCACCCTGTGACTAATTTAGCAGTGTTTGTTGACATTGATGTTTTATGTACACATCCGTTTCTGACTAATTTATGCCTCCTCTTTGTAAAATAATACTTTGAATTCTTTGCTCCTCCCCAAATACACAGGTAATTAAAATATGATTTGAGTTGCTCTTCAATCAAATGAGTAGGATAGCCCACCTTAGTAAATAATTGCTAATTATGAATAGGATTTCATTTCCCCTATATCATTTTCTTGAAAATACTGTCTTTAAAGCACCTTTGTTCCTGCCTGTACTTATGACTTATCTAAATCCATTGCAATCTGCTGGCTGGCTGCAAATGTCTGGAAAAAGAATGGCACAAGCATGACAAGCAGCACAGTATGAATCTTGAGCCACTAATTGCAGAACCCCTCACAATCAAACATCCAAGAAAATTAGGCAGGGAATGGTCAACAACATGTAAGGTCAAGGATAACTCAATTAAAATGGAAACTATTTTCTTGGGCAGAATGTTTCTGTGTATTTGTCACTAAGTTTGCTTTGGCTTCCCTTGTCCACAAACACTAGGTAACAGCATGTGCTCTCTTTACAGTCCATGGTTCTTCTGCTTCATAGCCAGCGACAGTACATCTTTGAATATGATATGTGGGACCGCCTGTCTGCCATCACCATGCCCAGTGTGGCTCGCCACACCATGCAGACCATCCGCTCCATTGGCTACTACCGCAACATATACAACCCCCCAGAAAGCAATGCCTCCATCATTACAGACTACAATGAGGAAGGGCTGCTTCTGCAAACGGCTTTCTTGGGCACAAGTCGGAGGGTCTTATTCAAGTATAGAAGGCAGACCAGGCTCTCAGAAATCTTATATGATAGCACAAGAGTCAGTTTTACCTATGATGAAACAGCTGGAGTGCTAAAGACGGTAAACCTCCAGAGTGATGGTTTTATTTGCACCATTAGATACAGGCAAATTGGCCCTCTGATTGACAGACAGATTTTCCGCTTTAGTGAAGATGGGATGGTAAATGCCAGATTTGACTATAGCTATGACAACAGCTTTAGAGTGACCAGCATGCAGGGTGTCATCAATGAAACTCCACTGCCCATCGATCTCTATCAATTTGATGACATTTCTGGTAAAGTTGAGCAGTTTGGGAAATTTGGGGTTATCTATTACGACATTAACCAGATCATCTCCACAGCTGTGATGACTTACACAAAGCACTTTGACGCTCACGGCCGTATCAAGGAAATCCAGTATGAGATATTCAGGTCGCTCATGTACTGGATCACAGTTCAGTATGATAACATGGGCCGGGTAACCAAGAGGGAGATTAAAATCGGACCCTTTGCCAACACCACCAAATACGCCTATGAGTATGATGTTGACGGGCAGCTGCAGACCGTTTACCTAAATGAGAAGATCATGTGGCGCTACAACTATGACCTAAACGGGAACCTCCACTTGCTGAATCCAAGCAGCAGCGCCCGGCTGACACCTCTCCGCTATGACCTTCGAGACAGAATCACTCGACTGGGGGATGTTCAATATCGCTTGGATGAAGATGGCTTCCTACGTCAGAGAGGCACAGAAATCTTTGAGTACAGCTCCAAGGGGCTTCTAACTCGAGTTTATAGTAAAGGCAGTGGCTGGACAGTGATCTATCGTTATGATGGCCTTGGAAGGCGTGTTTCTAGCAAAACCAGTCTAGGACAGCACCTGCAGTTTTTTTATGCTGACCTAACTTATCCCACTAGGATTACTCATGTCTACAATCATTCAAGTTCAGAAATTACCTCCCTTTATTATGATCTCCAAGGACATCTTTTTGCTATGGAAATTAGCAGTGGGGATGAATTTTACATTGCATCAGATAACACAGGGACACCATTGGCTGTTTTCAGTAGCAATGGGCTTATGCTAAAACAGATTCAGTACACAGCATATGGTGAAATCTATTTTGACTCCAATATTGACTTTCAACTGGTAATTGGATTTCATGGTGGCTTATATGACCCACTCACCAAATTAATCCACTTTGGAGAAAGAGATTATGACATTTTGGCAGGACGATGGACAACGCCTGACATAGAAATCTGGAAAAAATTGGGAAGGACCCAGCTCCCTTTAACTTGTATATGTTTAGGAATAACAACCCTGCAAGCAAAATCCATGATGTGAAAGACTATATCACAGGTAAGCTTTTTTTTTCTTTCCAAGGACCAAGTTACTATAACCATTAGACTAATACACAAAATAACTGGATTTGAACTTTGAAAATGTATTTATCTCCCTGTGGATCATAAAGAAACCACAAAGGAAAAATGAAACTTATACACTTGGAATTCTGTCTGCCAATACCCAAAGCCACCATTTTTTTAAATGACATGGAATCCTGTTATTTACAAAAGGGAAGAAATTTGGGGGACCAGAAAACATGATACACTCAAGAGTCCCCAAATTTGACTTCCAACCTCAACTCTCCTACAAGTTGTGTGGCTTTACAGACAAAATAATTTTTTGAGTTTCAATTGCTATATTAGTTAGTTTTCTGTTAGTGTAACAAAATACTTGAGATAATCACAACGAGGAAAGATTTACTTTGGCTCACAGATTTGGTGTCCAGTTGACCCGTTTCTTTGGGCCTGTGGAGAGACAGCATGTAGTAGGGAAAGCACATGACAGAACAAAATCACTCATCTTATATGGCAGTTGCTTTAACTATAAGATGAGAACAACAATAGCTACTTTGTGGCATAAAATACAAGAATATGTGGAATTCTGCACTAAGGAGTAACTGCCTTATAAATACGTATGTTAGGTTTCTCCGTACATACTCCAATGGACATTATCTGTGTGAAGCACAATACAGTGTCTTATCCTGGAAGCATTAACCCTCGCCTTACTATATTGACACTACCATTGACAGTAACACATAATTTCTCCTTTTGCTTGCTTAGCCAGAGGACCCTGTTTCTGTTTTCAGTTCTTCTCTTGTTTTACACTAGTGGCTTCATTGACATAGTGCAGTTCTTGAAAGGTAACACAACTAAAATGCACGCTAATTTTTTCACCAATATGGAGTAATTTTCAGGCAACAGATTAAGGATCTTTGCAAGTTTAATGCATGTTACTGTTGTGTGTGTGTGTGACTGGGGTGTGAACTCACAGCTTTATACCTACAAAGCAGATGCTGTACTGGAGCCATACCTCCAGTCTGTTTTGCTCTAGTTATTTTGGGGATGAGGTTTCTCAGACTGTTTGCCCAGGCGGACCTCAAACCATGATGCTCCTGATCTCAGTCTCCCAAGTAGCTAGAATGACAGGTGTGAGCCGCAGGTGCCCAGCTGCATGTTATTTTCAATTCTGTAAGACTTAGAACATCAGAATCCCACTTCTGCCACCACAGAATGACCAGGACATAAAACAGAGATGATGTGCTTACAAGTGCTACTGTAGTTCCCTTGTCACGCTTTTTCCTTCAAGAATTCTGAATCCTGTTTCCAACTTTCTGTCCCTGAGTTATGCTATCATAAATACCCTTCCTACCACACTGGTGTTTCCTGGAGGAAGGCTCTTCTCTGTTTTTTCTTTTTTTTTTTTGCTTTGTTTTGGCCTGTGTTAGATGCGCCTTCAGGCTGCCTCTTTTCTAGCTGGATATTTTTGGCCTGCTGAGATATGTATTCTCTTCAGTTCTTAGGACAGTTCTCAAAATGCTACCCCTGTTCATTTTACTCTCCTTCCTACCTTTCCAGACTGCTTAAAGCTTTTCCTCTCTCTTCATGTGAGCCAGCTGAAAGTTCTTTCGCATGCTCATTCAGCAACACCCTATGGTATTCTCATGCAGTACATAGCTGCATTCATATCCTGTTACTTTGGGCTGTGGCATGGCAAAAGTGGTAAAGTGCCCGGCTAGCAAGTGCAAGGCCCTGAGTTCAAACCTCAGTGCTGCAAAAAAAAAAAAAATCCCATTATTTTGGCAGTTCTTTTCAATACTTAAGGCCCTCTGATTTCTTCGTAGGCAGACTTTGTTCAGAATAAGAGAATCTTTGCTCTTAGCTCAACATTTGGGAGAAAGAATTTTCTCCAAAACCCTGTAAACTGTCACAGAAAGTAGTACTTTCCAACCTATGTGAACAATGTGGGGATTTATTTCTCACCACCACCCCTTTTAAAGGAGACACTACAACTGGTTTTGTAGCCACACGATGCCTGGACAAAGGACCTGCCAGCCTGGCGAAGAGGTGAGAGTTTGTGCCCTAGCTCAGGAAATAGGAAGCAAGTAGCACTCCATCATTCTGACAAGCAGTTTACCACTGGTTATTTAGGGGGTGTTGACAGGGCTGACTGAAAAGCTGGAAAGCCCACAGCTCCTGAATCCATCCTCGCCTAGCAACGTGGACTGTAGGGAATGCCATAGCAGCATTTTTTGAAAACATCAAAAGAGAGATGGAACAGCATAAAATATATTAGGTGAAATGCAATTTCAAATTTTCCAGCAATGTGCTTAATATATAAAATAATCTACACCCAACTGTACTCATAAAGCTGCAAGCCTGCTGAGTAGTTCTGTAACATTATAACCTCCAGAACAGAATAAAAGCCTTATTCTGAGCTTAATGGCTTTTGGAGTCACGTGGCAATATTTTAAAATACTATTTTGAAGGTTTCCAGGTTCTCTCCCCAAAAGTTTGTCTCCACCTGTGCACAGGGAGCCTTTGAAGTCATAACTGATGGTAATCAGAATTTCTGTGCCCTTGGCCAGTGTTGCCAGCTTTTAGCATTCATCTTTGATTAAGAATCAACCATTCATTTTAATACTCTCAATTTAGGGTTTTATTAATAGAAAATGGTTTGTGGAAGTCCTCATATCCTTGGGCAATCACTTTTGAAAGCTAATAGCATACAACTTCTATTTAAGACCAGCCTTTACTAACTATAAAACAACTTTCTTTTGTTTTCTACAACTGTCTTGGATCTTCATGCCATTCTGTATTGTTATTACCTTTTTCATCACTAGCACTGGCAGAGGATGCAATTCTGCACTTGTGGCAGTTTATTCAGTCTGTCTAAGTGAGTATCTATTACTCTCTATTTTCTGCAGCATTTGCCATCGTTCTGCTATTGAGGTTATTGTCTTTGTATCTAAAAATAGAAGTTTGAAATGGTAAGAAGACAGCAAACACATGCTTGTTTTCAGATTATTGTTTATGAAATTGGGGGATTTTCTTTAAGGTGAGAATTTAAATTTATGACAGCATAAAATAAACTCTTTAACACCTTTTGTTTTGAAAACTTTTCTCCTAGATGTTAACAGCTGGCTGGTGACATTTGGCTTCCATCTGCACAATGCTATTCCTGGATTCCCTGTTCCCAAATTTGATTTAACAGAACCTTCTTATGAACTTGTAAAGAGTCAGCAGTGGGATGATGTGCCGGTAAGAAACAAAAAGCAAATGGCTTATTCTTGTCTTGTTTACCCATATTTAATCAAACTACTCTTGTGAAAACTATACCAAAAACTGTTTTTCTTTTTTTTTAGCCTTTTGGGGAAAGCAGATCAACAACACTTCCTCTGCATTTCTGTTCAGAAAACCAGGGACCTACTAAACAGGCTTAAATCTGTTTTTAGTGATGCTGATAAAAAAAAATTGAAAAACGTTACCAAAATGTAATTAAATTCAGAAGCTCATTTTCTAGTGCTGGGTTTCTGCAGAGTCCTGTGAAAGCACAGTTACAGCAGTGGGGATATACAGGCAAAGATACATCAAGTAGGAGAACAGGGGATTCCTATTACAAATTCCCGTTGGCGGCCCACAACCATTGCCAGAGAGTTCAACTTCTTTAAAATAGTGTTTCATAGGGAAAAATAAAAATAAAATGTGCACTGGTAAGGCTCTACCTGCAACCAGGTGTTTATGGAATTTTCTTGAAAATAACAGATGGGGAGGCCTGTTCCTGATATGAGGAACAAAATAGGAAACAGAATGGAAAATTGCATAGTCAAAGCTGCCACGTAAGAGCTGGGAGTGTGGCTCAAGAAGTAGAGCACTTGCCTACCAAGTGCAAGGCCCTGAGTTCAAACCCAAGTACTGAAGAAAAAAAACAAAAACTGCCATGTAAAGTGTCACTTTAAATTGCCATCACTCAAAAATCAGAAACAAATGCACAACAAAACAAAATGAAAAGAATTTCTGGCTTAAAGCAAGAATAGAAATCAAGAAACTAGGTTACCCCATAATAGTAAGGAAAAGAATGCAGAGTTTCTTAGCAAGATTAATTCCCCTCAAGCGATACCCTACAATTTTAGTGAATACAAAGAGAAAACACAATCAATCATGATTAAAACACCATACACACAGCATACACAAAGCCAATATATATTTTCTGGTACATTTCGTACTTCAACATAAAAATACTTTCTTTCGTATGTCATCTTTACATTTAAAAAGCAAAACCTACCAAATGTCTAGGTCTGAGAGCCATTTTAGTATTTTTACTTGCAAATATATCTACACTGATGAAGTGACCATGAAGACATACTGAAGTTTCCCATGTACTTGAACAGGCACGTCCTAATTATGTATGATTTTCAACATGTCTGAAAACACTTGAGTCTAAAATGTACAAATGGATTTGCCTACTTTTTTTTCCTAGACAGCTTTCAATATGGTTCAACTTCTCTGTCAAGAGAAGTACAGTAAGGACAGCTTAGAGAATCACCAGCATTGACTTTGAGGCTGCCCCAAATGCACAAAAACAAATGTTTCTTTGAGTGCTGCAAATGAAACAGATGTTTCCATTTGGGAAACACTGGCCAGATAAACATCTGGCAGTATAAGAAATGGCTGGGTTAAGATACCCCCAACTTAAAATATATGCCAATGGAGTAGTTCACTGTCCCTAAATCTGTGAAAAAGTTGTTTCCCTAATACTTGGTCCACTCATCCGTCCACACTGCAGTTCTGCAATTGCACTGGCAATTTGGATAGTTTGCCCACGTTCGAATGTAAAAAAGCTTTCAGTGATACGTGATGGAGTTCCCTCCTTTAGCATTTCAAAAACCATTTGGATCACCTTGAGGGGAAGAGATGGGTTGTGTGAGCTTTTCCATCTGTAAAGAATCAGTTTTTAATAAATGCCTCAACCCTCTCCCCCCAGACCGCCTCTTTGATCCAGAGTGGGAACTCTGGATCCAGGCCGCCAGGAATGGGTGCTACCTACAGATGTTCTTTCAACTGTCCCCTTTTGTTTCGCTTTTCAGCCCATTTTTGGAGTTCAGCAGCAAGTGGCAAGGCAAGCCAAGGCCTTCCTGTCCTTGGGGAAGATGGCCGAGGTGCAGGTGAGCCGGCGCAAGGCCGGCGGCGAGCAGTCGTGGCTGTGGTTCGCCACGGTCAAGTCGCTGATCGGCAAGGGCGTCATGCTGGCCGTCAGCCAGGGCCGCGTGCAGACCAACGTGCTCAACATCGCCAACGAGGACTGCATCAAGGTCGCGGCCGTGCTCAACAACGCCTTCTACCTGGAGAACCTGCACTTCACCATCGAGGGCAAGGACACGCATTACTTCATCAAGACCACCACGCCCGAGAGCGACCTGGGCACGCTGCGGCTGACGAGCGGCCGCAAGGCGCTGGAGAACGGCATCAACGTGACGGTGTCGCAGTCCACCACGGTGGTCAACGGCAGGACTCGCAGGTTCGCCGACGTGGAGATGCAGTTCGGTGCGCTGGCGCTGCACGTGCGCTACGGCATGACGCTGGACGAGGAGAAGGCGCGCATCCTGGAGCAGGCGCGGCAGCGCGCGCTCGCCCGGGCCTGGGCGCGCGAGCAGCAGCGCGTGCGCGACGGCGAGGAGGGCGCGCGCCTGTGGACGGAGGGCGAGAAGCGGCAGCTGCTGAGCGCCGGCAAGGTGCAGGGCTACGACGGGTACTACGTACTCTCGGTGGAGCAGTACCCCGAGCTGGCCGACAGCGCCAACAACATCCAGTTCCTCCGGCAGAGCGAGATCGGCAAGAGGTAACGCCCGCCGCGCCGGGCCGCGGCTCCCCGGGCCTCCCACTGCCCTCGCCGACTGTCCTAGCACAACCCCCGCGGGACTGCCACTCGGGAGCCAACAGGACAGGGACACTGCAGGTAGCAGGACCCACCACCAACAGACGAAACAGACTAAGACGACTCTCGTGAATGACCTTAAAGGTGATCGGCTTTAAAGAATATGTTTACATATGCATCTCGCTGCACTCAGTTGGACGGAAAGTGTGAAAGGAACCCCAAGGAAGAAAGGCCTGCACGTTTTGCGCTGGGCCGTCGTTCCTTTGAGGCACTGTATTTAACAAAGGTAGAGAATGCGTACAGTGTTTGCAAACGCTCTGGAAGTGTCGACCTTTGCTTACAGGAAGTAGTCTCTGCGTAGGATGTAATGTACAGCTCTGGTCCTTTTAAAATGTGGGGCAAAGTTACTGATAACAGACAACCCAGCTGCTTTCCTGTGCTGCTTTGTGAAAGGACGTCGGCACAAGTGACTTCTGCCTCGGCGGGGATTTAATAATGGATTTTACAATACTAACGTGGTTTGCCTTGAGGGAAAAAACTGGCAAATAGAATCCTTGTCACTGATAAGCAAAGGAAACCCTGATTTTTTTGTAAATTATGTGAGACAAGTTGTTTATGGATTTTTATATGAATTACAATTTACTGTACATCAAATATTAGTCTCAGAGGAGTTAATTTATGTAAAGTGTTTAAAAAGTTTATACTTAAAAATAAAATGATAAAAACATGTGAAATGTGTGATTTTTTACAAGGATTGCACCTTCTGTTATCTGTTATAGCTGTACAGTATAACTTATTATATTGTAGAGATATAACAACTTATGCCTATAATGTCCAGAAGTGTTAATATTTTTGTATTAGGTTGAAACAAATGTGCAGCTTTCTCTCACTAGATGGATAGGACAGTGCAATCCTGAATGGGTGGCTAAACAGAGAACCCCTTTCTCTTCCTCCTCTTTATCATCAAGCCAGTGTCCTCAACCATTATCAATTAAGAGGCACGGTAGATAACCGAGGCTGGTGGAATGTAAGGGAAGATATGGGGGAAAATGTAGAGAAGAGAGGTTCTGTGGCCCTCTCTCGCAGCCCTAGAAGTCAATGGGGAGTTGACCTAAATAACCACAGGGTTTTTACTATTTCTGTTCCTTGATGCTCCAAGTCATGATGGAAACCACATCAGATGCTCCAGAAACATTGGCCGGGAGGAAAGGATCTGATGTCCTGGTGACCATAAACGTGTCAAAAGACCTAGGAAACATAGAACCAAACAACAGTGAGCAAGCCAGAAGGAGCCGGTCAGGGGCACTCTGCTGCTCTTGGATTTGGACCCTTGGGTCAGCAAGAGGGACCAAAAACGGGGTAGAAGCTCCTATAAAGCCCTCATGACCCAGCCACCTTGGGGGCTGGTTTGAATGGCAGCTGTGCTGTCTCAGGGAAGCCAAGGGTGGCAGATCCAGCGGAAAGGGAACTGACAGCCGTGCCCCCTGCACTCTTGTGTTCAGGGCTACCACAGCCACCATCTGCACTTCGGTGCCACCCCAGCCGCTCTGACAAATCTTTCGTGAGCACTAAATTCAGCCACAAAAATATTTTTAGAAAATATTTCTCAGTTCATTGAGCTATAGTACACACTGTTTTCCTCTATGTATAATGGTGATAAAATATAGCAAGTGAACGTCGTAAATATAAAGGTTCAAGTGATGTATTGAAAATAATTTTCTAACTGCTTTGTATGTATCACATACTCTAAATTGCACAGTAGGTGTGTTTATTAAACAGATTGGCTGGGAGAATTTCAAAATAGCTACTGGGTTTACAGTATCAGTGCTATTACTGTCTTTGTGTATTGGTAGAGCATACCGAAGTAATTAACCTTCTAATGAATGCTGATATTTTATTAGAATGAAAGCACAGATTAGCATTAATATTTTTTATCCTGGAAGTCCTTTGGCAAGTATTATGAAGTCCAAATTTAGAAAACTGAGATTTCAAACCACATAAACATGGCTCTGTTTTACACTTTCTTTTAACTGTTAACTTAGGTATTTGCTGTTCTGTTCGATGGAACTTCCACAGGACTGTATTTAGCATGCTGTAAGTACTTTTGGGTGAAATAGGCTCTTGAGTCTAAATTCTCAGAAATGTCTGGTGTATTGACCACAAAAAGCTTGTACCACATGACAGAAGTGAAATTACAGTCTTAACCTCTTCTCGACATGGACTGGTCTTCTCAGTGGCACCGATAAATGACAGATTTGGAGAATCTCCTGGTGCTTATTTTAGATGAAGTCAAATCAACCCAATTAGTGTCTTGTTAGTAGGTATAATGAGCCTATTTCTTTCTAAAAAGGCTTGTGATCTGGACATGCTTTTACAAGAAATAGTGACCTTGGGGAATAAGTAAACAAAAGATCTTTTTCTAAGAGTTGGGGGGGTGGGGAACTGTATAATGAAAAGAATTAGCTTACAAAAAAGAAATTGATATTCAAAGTATTTTAGGCAAAGCCAGTCAAAATGCTTTCATGATATTTTGAGATGTAAATTTTGTCTGATTTGTATTGTTCTTTTCATTTGCCTTCTTAACTTTATATGTGACCTGAATTTTCCATAACTTGATGACTATAGATTGCATCTAGGCATTCCAATAAAAGCCAACCCAATGTGTGTGTGTGCTTATATTTTTTTTTTTCAAATCTTGGGCTAGCCAGTATTGCTTTTGTGTTTAACATGGAGGACACAAAAAGATACAGTGGTTGGGGTGTTGATTCAGCTACAACTCAGTTGGGAATATCTTTTACTTCATTATATTTTTTTGTCTATGGTCCAGAATGCCAACTCAAGAAGACTCTCTGTTGGCCTACTTTAGAAAAATGTCAGATATACCCCCACAAAGCCAAACACTCTAACTGTAAAGAAGAATTTTTTTAAAAAATCACCCCTTGCTTCTGGAAAGCAGGTCTCATTCCTGTGATCGTGGCAATAAGTATGCTTAATTAAAGCACTTGATTAGAATAATCAGCTTGGGCCTGATAGGCCCGAAGCCTCCTGGAGTTGTCTAAATCTACATGTAGACCAGCTGATTGCACCATGCTTCGTTCAGCAATTCCAGACTGAGGCCAGAGCTTTGATTTTAGTCTGCAAAGGCAGGCTTCATCACACTTGCTTTGTAGTGACAACCTCAACTTGATAATATGTGGATCCAGCAGGAATCAGGTCATTCCACTTGGCAAACTGGTCTAGTTTCTTCTTGAATTAGAATTTAAAGTGCTCGAAAGGGGAAATCCAGAAAAACACAGGTGAATTACTACTCTTGCTCTCTACAATGCTTTCCTTGAAACTAATGTCTGAACAAATGCAAAGAACAGTGTAAAACAAATCTTAGAAAATACATTTCTGGGGATAGGACACCCCACTGCCTTCTGCCATAAAATATGCATTTGTCTAGTTACATTCACATGTTACATGGGGTTCTAACCACCTGACCTGAACAAAAGAACATCATCTGAATAGAAGCTCCTAAAATCAAGAACAGCACTCAGGCACTTTAAGAAAAAGGTGAACACCCTAACCGTGCCCACTCCCCATTTGCCATCTTTTCTTTGTGCTTTTGTCCTGGCTGCCTCCCAAATACAGGTATTTCTTCCCCCTGTTGAACAGCAGATCAACTGTCAGATGCACTTTTGGAATGAAGGAATCCAAAAGGAGGTCAGGAGGCACTGACCCACATCACATTCTGTCTATGGCAACACCACCTGGGCAGTGCTCATGGGGCTCACTTGCTGTAGTAGGACAAGGGCCGCCCAACCCATGGACTTCTGCCCAGCTGGGATGGGGTGACATCTGAGCTCCAGCAGAGCAGGTGAGCCCACTCCTGAGGAGCCTTGAACATAGATCTTACCCCTCCATACATACCCCACCTGACTGCAGAGAAGTGCTCCACGTCCAGCACCCCAGCCAGTCCACAAAACTCATCGTATTTTAGGTGAGGTCTAAGGAAGTTAGAGAAATTTGAGTGAGTTGTCCAAGTTCACAGAAGTGACTCGGACCAAGGGGATCAGAGATTTCCTGTCAGCTAGTAGCTTTCATTACATCATACAGTCTCCTGATAATGCTCCCCAGGAAAGTCTGTAGACATTATTCATCACCCCTGTTTGCATGGGCAGCTTGATCTTTCCAAAGCTGCCATAACTTACAGTCGTGTTTTCTCATTAAAGATGCTCCTAACGCACTAGTGAGGCACGTGCCAGTATTCCTAGCTCCTCAGCTCATTTGTAGTAAGTATGCCATGCAGTGTTAATGTCTGTTAATCATGATTTTTAAAATAATGACCATGGGGTTATGTAACTAGATTTTCTATAAGGTATTCATTCGACTTTGGCCATCCTACTAAGCCCATGAAAAAATAAAAATTCATTATTTATAAATAAGTCATTATTACCCATTTTGACCACAGCATTAAGCCAGAGTACCAAAGAGGCACTGATGACCGTTGGAATTTTCTACCTTCTAATTTAAGCCACGTAACGAATAGCCTTTCTTGCCAGAGTTCTCATTTGCTATTCACCACCTCTGCAAGCAATGGTCTCTTGATGTCAGTTAATTACTAATAACTTTTAGGTAAATTGAGTAAACCTTTTCATTTATGAACTGACTTAAAATTCCTGTCATGGAGGAATATAGAATTCCTAGAGCTCTGTGGATAGAGAATTTACTATTAACTGATTCTAAGCCTACAGTGACATCATTATTCAGTTTAGAGTTAATGGGTTCCACAAAGCAAATTTAATAAATCCTTCTGGGATCTAAGCTGAGGAAAATTAAAATTAGAAGCATAAATTGTGACTTCTAGGGCAAGAGAGTGGCTTGGTTACAGTCTTCCTGCTTATAGGGTGAATTGTGAGCTGGGCTTTAGCCGGCCCTAGCCACAGGCATTTCAGCCCATCAGGAAGGGAAATCACATTCTTTTACACGTGTGCAGAGATTTCCTGAATTGCATCTACAATGGCTCCTTCTACATGACATAACCCACTGCATAGAACTGACAGGATTTACAAGTGGTCC